CACAGGAGAACGACCTTATAAATGCATGGAGTGTGGAAAGACCTTTATTCGTAATAATGATCTTAATTCCCACAAGAGGAGCCACACAGGAGAGAAGCCATATAAGTGTGTGGAATGTGGAAAGGCCTTTAGGTGGCATTGTGATCTTACTTCCCATAAAAGGATCCACACAGGAGAGAAACCATATCAATGCATGGAGTGTGGAAAGAGATTTGCTCGTAATAATGGTCTTAATTCCCACAAGAGGAGCCACACAAGATAGAAGTCATATAAATGCGTGCAATGTGGAGAGAGAGCTTTAGAAAGAGTTGCGATCTCACTTCCCATAAAAGGATCCATATGGGGGAAAAAAACATATCAATGCATGGAGTGAGGAAAGAGCTTTGCAAGGAGTAACACTCTTACTTGCCATAGAAGCATCCGTACACAGGAGAAACCATATGAATAAAGGAACTGTGGGAGGAGCTTCAATAGAAATCCAGATAGTCCTCTGTGTGTGACTGCAATTGAGCCCAAAATTTCTGCTTGTATGAGACAGTTATTAAGTATGTTTTGTGGTTCTACCTTTTCCATCCTTGCTTATCTGAGGAAGGCTCAAGTGAGACGTCTGATTTCTGTATCCAGATTGTTGGCTGTTGCTTGCAAAGTCTTGCAGTTTGTGAGAGCTAAATTCTGTTCCTTTAGAAGCTAAGAGTTGTTTTCATACACAGTACTAATGTAATAAGCCTCTTGAGTCTGAACCGATCCCACTACTGCCACCAATTTGTCATGCGTTCGTTTTAATCCAGGAGGGCCCAACTCCTGGGCCGTGGCCTATTTGGAAGTGGGCTGTGGAAGTAATGATTGAGTGTGCGCTTGCACAAGTGGCAGGCTCACACGGAAAACTCCATTTGGTGTGAGAGGTGTGTGTGTGAGCCAGCTGCTTCCACAAATGAAGCTGTGCGTGCATGAATGGTCCTGCTGCTTATAGAGAACCATCCTCCACCTCATCCTCCCATCACTAGGCTACCAAGCCAGAATTGAATTGATTGAATTGAATCCAAACAGTCATCAAAAGTACTGGATTCTATACAGTTTCAGTTTTCTGTCTCCCCATTTAGGGTTGTGGGGATATTTTATTCTGGAAAAAAATATCTGAGGTACAAAAGGGAAACATACAATGTGCAAGTTCTTTTTGTTTGTTTTCTTTTCAGTATATTTATATTATACAACAGCGGTCCCCACCATTTCCAGCTTGGTGGCCCAGTGGGGAGGGGGAAGAGGGGATGTCTTTGTGTGAGTGGCAGGTCCATTTGCGTTAAATGGCCGGTGCATAAATTGAGCATTGTATGCATGTGCTCAACAACCTTGTTGTTAGGCTCCTCCTAGGGCACAGGTGTAAAACTCAATCGCATCATGTGACATATTGTGACATTGTGATGGTTTTTGCATTTGCGGAGCCGGGGTGGGTCTGGCCTGTGCGTGACACATCTGGTTCCTGGGCCGCTAGTTTGATAGGCCTTTCCTAGGGTTTTAGCTCATCACCCTCATACAAATGGAATCTTTGAATGTCCGAATGCAGTCCTGGAGGACTCCCTTTGATGTCGCGTGAACCATCAGCAAATCAATTGGGTTGAACTTGTACCTTTTGCTGAGGTGGCATACAATAACTCTGTAAACAGCAGCATCAATTTACCCCCTTTCAAATGGCCACTGTGCAGAGTTCATGCCTATGCCAGAACTCCCCGAAGGGACCTCTTTGACAGCCTCATTGGCTGACTGGATACTTTAACCACCACCCCCGGCTCCTGCTACGCGAGGCTTTAGAATAAGCAAGCACAAAAGAGGGCACCTGAGAAATAGATTACAATTGGGGACGAGGTGTACCTGCCCATAAAGTTCCTAAAATTGGGACAGCCCTGCAAGTTGAGGCTTAAGGATACAATGTATGCCCTTTTCCTGTCATCCAGATTGTGAATCCAATGATGGTAGAATTGAAGTTGCCCAAAAATCTCAGCCACATTCACTCATTATTCACAAGTTTGTTGAAACCCTTCTGCACCTAACCGCTCAGACTGGCTATTGAACCCCCCCACCCCCCCAAAGGTTAGAAACAGAAAAGCATTTTGACGTCAAGGAGATCCTTGACTCTCAATGCTACAAGGTGAGGTTACAGGACTTAGCCTTAAGTAAGGGATTTCCCCAGACAGATGCAGAGTGAGTTGCAGCGACGGATATTTGGGACATAGACCGATCCATAGTTTTCTTGTTAAGTTCCCAGATCAACCCTGATAAGTTATGTAATTTAAAAAGATTTGGGTCTAGGAATGTATGTAATTGTTCCCTTGTAGAATTAATCTTTTTGGAGGGTCGGCATGTTTTGGTTGATTCGCAATGGATCCCTGCTCGTAACCAGACAACAGTAATGGGAGTGGGGAGGGAAGGCATTGGAATTCTAGGCACATTTCACGGAGGGAAATGAGTAATGCAAGTGAGTCAACTGAAAGCCTGAGACAGACCTGACACCCAAGAAGGTCCAAAGTAGTCAGATTGTTTCCAAACAAAACGAATACAAATAATTGATGAACAATTGACAGTGAGAGGTCCAAGGGACAAAAGGAAAGTTTATGCTGTTTTCAGGTAAAATTTTTTCTACTTTTCTACTTCTGTACTCCTATGGAATTTTCAGTGAAGTTATTCTCTTGGTAAAATAATGTCCCAGGAGTTTCTTTTGCTGTCTAAATCAATGGCACAGTTGACACAACTGTGAGCTAGTGATTGAGAGTCTCCATAGATATATACAGGCCTATAACTCCTTGATAAAGCTTCCAGAGAAGAAAAAGATTTTACTCCAGGAATGTTACCTGGAAGAATTAAATTTAATGAGTTAACTGGAATTAGAATGGATTTTTCTTTGCTTGATATGTGTAATTGAAAGGTTTAATTTGAAAATAATTTTTACATACATACATATGTACGTAGCGGGTGGGAAAGAAGGCAATAGGAGGAGGAGGTTTTGGAGGGAAGAGAGGGAGACAGAGGGACTGTAAGAGGGGTTTTTTTCTAAGCTGGCGGTGGGGAGGCTGGAAGGTAGCGATAGAGAGGATCCTATCCTTCCTTGGCTGGGGGGAAAAAGGAGGCCCAAGAGGATAGAAAATGGAGAGAGGCCTTGAGAAAGAGAGGGAATGAAGGCAACAGGATAGGATAGGGGAGACTTCTGTGGGGCAAGCAGAGGAATCGGTATTTCCCTTCATTTTCTCATTCTACTTTTTCTCTAGTCACATATGAGACTTTATTCTCCCAATCTTCATTTCTAAATCGTGGCACCTTATTTTGAGGTAAATTTTTTTAAAGGTACTCAAGTTTGAGCTTTCTCTCCATTCTGGCACTTTTCTTTGGATGCCTCTTCTATTCTTCAGGATTATTCTCATTATTACAGGCTGTATTTAGGGTTTCCAAGCCTCCTTGGCTGCCCAGAGGAATTAATTTGAAAGGCAGTAATTGAAAAAGAAAAACCAATACAAATCTTAATTTTCCTCTCAACCGGTCGCTTTCCTCCCTGTGTCTCTGCCAGCCCCCTGATCTCCCCTCACTTCAGGGCTGCGTTTGCCACAAGACACAGTCTGGGTTTCACAGAGAGACTTCGTTCCTTGTCATTTGACCGCCCTGCCATTTCTGACAGGATTTTGCTCCTTTTTGATGCCTTCGGGAATCCCTTCAGAGACGCTGCTCTTCAGGAAAGGGATTTTTGAGTCTCCACAGAGATTTTCTCAATCTTCGTTAAGAACACAGACGGTTTTTAGAGATTAAGCCTGTCAGAGAGACCACTTTCTTTCTAGACAGGCAATGTTAGAGGGAAACTTTCCTTCAACGTTAACGTCCATCATCATCCCAGACCCGCATGGAACATGACGTCGCGCCCCCTTGCAGGGTCTTCTCGCAATGCGCACAAGATCCTCTAGGCGGCTCCTTGGAAGACCCGTGAAGCTCTCTCCCGCCCGCCCCCCACCCGCTTTACAAGAGAACTGAGCATGCGCCAGCCTCTTTCCAAAGTCAGTTTCTTCGTTCCTGATAACTTTTCCAGCGGAAAAGTTCCTCAACTCTTTCTACCGTGTCCGATTCTGCTCCTACACCACACTCGCTTTGAACCTTCAGGTGAGTCTTTCTAGCAAAGGAAGAAGCTGCAGTCAAGATTGCACGGTCCGACATCCAAAAGTGAATTGGAGTTCAGTGATGGGACTTCTGTTCCGAGCTGGAGGCTCCCATTGGAGATCTGCAAAACTTCCATCAGGCTTGGAGTCGTGGGAAGGGGAGACGCAGGGGTCCCATGTTCCCCTGCCGCCCCTGTGCATGCACGGGCCAGCTTCGGATCCTTCCCATTGCCCCTAGAGAGAGAAAAAAAATCGGGGTCGCAGAAAGGAGGGAGCCACTTAAACTCCATTTCGACAGGAAAAGATCTTTTGCAAACTGAGAGTTGTGCCTCCAAGTCAGCCTTGACTCCTGGACAGTTTCCTGCATATTTCGTAGCTCTATTTCCAGAAAGGGGTTTCTCTCGCCTCCCCCTTTTTAGGCCGAGAGAAAGCGATCCTACAAAGGTTGCAACTGGCTTTGCCTACAAAGGCTGCAACTCCGTGTTCAATTAACCACCCTAGTAAACATCCTGAATTATTTGTTTTCAATTTCAGGTATGTAAGCTGGAAATACGTTCTGGTTCTTCTGGGATCTTAAGTATCTTATCTGGGAAGAGATCTGAATGGCTTTGGAAAATTTGGCCAGACCTCTTGTGAACAGAAAGACTGTTGGTCCGCCATGGAGCTGTGGGAGGAAGGGGGCAATGAATCATAGGCAGAAGAGCCACGAAGAGGCATCCAACAATTCAGAGGTCCAATGCTGTCACTTCAGAAAAGTGCAGTTTCAGGAGGGGAGCCATCCCCGAGATGTTTGCACTCAACTTCACTACCTTTGTCATCAGTGGCTGGCCTTCCTCCCTGTGTCTCCTGATCTCCCCTCACTTCAAGGCTGAGTTTGCCATCAGCCACAGGCTGGGTTTCATAGAGAGACTTTCGCTCCTTGTCTTTTGACCGCCCTGCCATTTATGACAGGATTTTGCTCATTTTTGATGCCTTCGGGAATCCCTAGAGACCCTTCAGAGAAGCTCCTCTTCAGGAAAGGGATTTTTGAGTCTCCACAG